TAATGAAAAATAAATTTTCACTCGATCCAGCTGGACTGCACTGATAATTGATAATTAAGGTTGCTCTCGACTAGCTGCGTGCACTTGATTTGTAGAAACAAATATTCGATGTACATATGTATCTATCCTCTGACTTTTTTGTTTAGCACTGAAAACAAGAAAACATAGCTGGGGCAGTGAATGAACTGAGGCTGAACAAATTGACAGCACAAACTTTGTTATGCAGTGAAATGCACTCCCTGTAGGAGATAATGAAGGTAGTCCCTTGTAATGGTCCTGCATCTCTCCTTAGGTGTTACAGAGGCATAACGTGCCTGGTTGTTGTTGTTTTTTTGTTTTGTTTTGTTTTGGGGTTTTTTTCCCTTGGGCGGGGGGGGGGGGGAATTCTTTCTTTCTTTTCCTTCATTTTATTATCTGCTGCTATATGTGGTGTGGTGTAAATGCCGCTAGAAACACTATGGAGGCATCAACAATTTACATTTTGACGCCAGCCGTAGATCTGGCTCCTGTTATACCATAATCATCACTACATCTGAGGCCAACGGGAGCATTTTACTCACTTCCCCAGATAAGCGTGTCCACCTTCAAGCCAAGCTAATGATCACTAGTCTTTGAAACTGTGGTGGAGCCACAGTGTGATGCACTGTGCACAAATTTCTTTGCTGGTTAGAAAACAATTATACCATAAATCATTGTGTTTGAATCTGTTTATTGCTCTCAGCACAGCCACACAGCAAAGTTGGGCAGAAAGAAAACAGGGTTCAAACAGGATGACAAGGAAATAACAGAGCACAATAAGGTGGTACAGTGATTAGCAGTAGTTTTATCAGATGGTAAGAATGGGTTTCCTCTAGATACAAACCAACTGCCTTAAGGACAAGAAGAGTGGAACCTCTTAAGCTGCTGAGGTATCTCAAGCTTTGCCAGCCTCCATCCATCCTTTGTCTTCTACTCATCCAGTCCAGGGTTGCAGGTGGGATGGAGCCTATCCCAGCTGCCATAGCGATAGGCTCCCCATTTACACCCTGGACAGGTTGCTAGTCTGTTGCTGGGCTAACACACACAGACAGACAACCATTCACACCTATGGGCAATTTGGAATTACCAATTAACCTATCCCCACAAACAAGACATGTGGGAGGAAATTGGACTAGCTAGAGAGAACCAAACAGAAAGACCCCACCCAAATGGTGAAACCCAGAGCCTCCTTGCTGTGAGGCAACGGTGTTAACCACTACACCGCCATGCTGACCCCTTACACCTCTGCCAGCTTGTTCAATCACATTATCAGTGATTATAATGATGCATCTTGGGTTTGGATGGCCAGGACTACAAGACCTGGAGTGTACAAATTATCAGCCAATCAGCTTCTGTGTTACCCCACAATGATCTTCAAATGAGCCACCATCTCTCCCAATCAATGTCGATTTGGCAAAAGGTGTAGGATGACTGACAGCATCCATAGAGCCCAGCTGCATTTGGAAAGACCCCGGCAGGAAAAACAAGCCCGTTCTTATAGAATTTCTGGTAAATGAAAAAGTCTCACCAGGCTCATCTGGCATGCTTTTGGGACACATGACATGTCCAATGTGTCTAATTGCTCTGCCAGAATGTAACTAGACTGTACAATGCCCAGCAGTAACTTTGCTGCTTTTCAGTGTCAGTGTTGGGATCAAACCTACCAAAGCTCTTTTTCCTCTATATAGACAAAGCAACAGCCGATTTTTAGCTTCCCTGGAACCTGCTGTATACCTGTTATGGCCCTGGCCATATTCATTACAGTTTAGTATTTCTTCTGTGTGCTGTTTTGTGCATTAGTATGACCCTTCTTCTTTATCTCTGAGTCTCTCTCTCCAGGTCTCCTAATAATTGGTCAAATCCATGGCTTTAAATCCAGCCTTCAACATCACACACATTAGTGGAAGGATTGGCTGGATGTGATGCCATGCAGCTAAATTTAAAGACATGCAGTGGGAGCCACAGGCAGATGGGGCAATGGTTGTCAATGGTTTAACCCTGAATAAGTGTTCAAATACTTGGCTCCATCATTTCCAGTGATGGCCAGAGGTGGCAAATGTACAGCATATCTGTACTTAAGTAGAAGTACAGATACTAGTGTTAAAAATACTCCAGTAAAAAGTACAGTACTGATTCAACTTCTTTACTTGAGTAAAAGTTAAAAAAAACTCTTTGGAAAATGTTTCTACCGGCAAAGCTAACTGAACTTTGTCCTATATTAAGGTAATAATAAAATAATGTTAGTAGATGGAAATACAAACTTTATTTCAGTCTCTCAACTTGAATCCTTAAAGTAGACCATGAGCAGAGAAAAAGAAGGAAAATTAAAAAAACAAACAAAAGCAAAACAGTAGCTCTATTTTGCCTACACTGCACTAAAGAGGAAAATGAGTAGGGAAGAGGTTAGAGTGGGTTTCAGCAGGTGGAGGATCCCTAAAATCACTTGTAATGGCTCAGTGTAGAGAAAAGAATCACAACTCACAATAATTTCTATTGTAGATTTTCCTAGTATACAGGCTGTGATTCAGCTACTTTAAGATGGCGATTTTAAGATGGCGCGGCCACATCCAGACGCCTTCCTGACCGCTCCGTTCCGACTGTGCACCTTTTTAGTTTTTGCACAAGTTGAGGAGCGTGTCAGGTTACATTTCACTGTGTGTTATACTTGTATAACTATGCATGTGACGAATAAAGAACCTTGAACCTTGAGCTAACCTGCTGCTCTTTTTGGATATACACAACTGAAGTCAACAACTGGATTCAACCAAATGTCAGCTGATGTTTGATGAGTTGTCCTTTTTTTTCTATAAAGTTGTTATGAAGGTGGAATTCAGTAAATGAATCTCAGTACCATCAGCTTAACTTTAAATTAATCTCTGCAACACTTCATTTAAGCTAACTCTGACCATGAAACCACAGCTGCTGAAACCAGTCACACACACTTTAAATCCAACACAGTACAGCAAATTATCCTGTTTATCAGAGTATTTTCATGCAACCTTTAAACTGAATTAATGTTGCATGTTAAATAAATAACACAGTAAGTCTACCTCAGTTCTTACCTTTAAATCTAACCTCTGTTGTCCGTCTCCTGTCCTGTTTTTCTGATCTTTCTCCATCTCTGAGTGAAGTTAATTCTCTTTCTTTTCTCTCCCTGTGAAATACAGCAACTGGACCTTTAGCCAGCAACACACTGTGAGACCAACTGCACACAAACACTTTGTTTGTTTGCTGATGTTTGTTGAGTATGTTGTTTGTATGTTGCATTTAAAATTACCTGCCACAACATGTTATTGCCTTTATCCTCGCTCATCTTCTGTACTGCTAGGTAGATGTGGAAGTAACGCAAACCTAACTTATGGACACCTGCAGTCATTCTGTTGTCTAAAGGCTCGCAGTTGCAGATAAGATGCAAGAATCATGACTTCAATGGTGTGTATTGAAGACCAGCTGGCAAAAAACACCTTATGTCTCAAGCTCAATGACCTCAAGAGAGACTGAAGAAGAGAAGGCATGACCATCTTTAAGAGGACATACGGGGAGTGTGAACTTCATGCCAGAGGATTACTTCAACTTTTTCATATGGAATGCAGCTAAGCCTGTGCTTACATGAGAAAAATCACTTATTGTATACAATTTTATAAACTATTGTTATAGTTATAGAGAAATTATCGTTGAAACACACACACACACACACACGCAGCAGCCAAAACATGTAAATAACATGTTGCTAGGTAACTAGAGTGTTGTTTTACACGTTCTGTGGTGTCATAATAACTCCTGTGGAGGTTCAAGGTGTAAAGGTTTGTATATCTTTCTCTTTATGCCACACACCCCAAAGGTCACTATTGATAAACTTATTTTAGGAAAAGTAATGGAATTTAAAGTTATGGCATTTCCATTTCACAGTTAGATACTTTAAAATGCAATGATGGACAAGAAAGGCAAGCAGTGCTTGCCTTGAAAACACACAAAAAAAACCCTCAATTAATTAAAATGTACTAAAAAGCGATCTTTGTCCTTTCCTCTTAAACAGTGCTGTTGTTTCTCCTTGCCTATATGTAAAAGTTACTGCTTGCTAATGTTAAAATGCCAAAGGAGTCAAAATGATACATTTGGCACCTCCAGTGCTAAACTTTTAACCTTGCAGGAACATTATTTGAAGCATCTTTTCGGCATTTAAACATTAAAAATTAAAACATTAAGATGTGCAGACGGATGTATGGCTGTACAATCTGAGAACACGATGCCTCTGCAAGCATACTAAGTAGCACACTGACAAATATCTTGACTATATTTGACCTTTTTAGCAATGGCAGACAGCTTTTAATCACCACTGCACGCCATACTGTATTGTGAACATTTACATCTACCTGTCCAATCGAGACTTTGATGTTAAAGATAAGATTCAATTAGCAGCAGGAAAACCAGGTCAGATCCCCCCGTAAAGACACCACCTGGCTCTTAGTCTCGCTCTCTCACGCATGCACAGGTGGGAAGTGAATTACAATGCGTTGCTTGATTAACCTCAGCATGAAGCTGAGCTGTTATGTTTAGAGAAGGGGAAGGAGCTCTTCAGTCAGATCCATTAGTATTTACGGCCACAGCATATCACTGTGGTGGTATATTTTCTATAGCACTGCAGTCGAAAGCTCGAAAGTCACATGCACGTAAATATCTTCTGAACAGTTGAATATATTCTATTTAAATTACATTTAGTTTTAACTGACTGTAACAGGAGATGGTTTATGTTTGGCGTAAATGAATGTAGTTGAATTTATTGCAGTACTGTTTATTTATTTTTGTATGAATTCACAAGTCACCACTGTGGTCTAAAGTCAGCAGCACACTGAAGTCCGATTTCCACATTCTACCAAAGCGTCCAGGAGTCGGCGCCTGTAGACGCTGCGTCAGTTTGATTGGTCCATGCTCTTTGAGTTTGGAATATGATTGGCTGTCCACCTCTATGCCCGACTGAACGTGGCTACACCAGAGCCGAGCACGTCAAGACGACAAGCGAGCCGGAACTAGGTGCACTAAGAGAAGTAGGCCGAGTGTGCTTTTAAGATTGACGCATGATTTTTGTTATGATAAAGATATACTGAATAATTATTTCGAGACAAAGATTCTGACTTATTTTTTATTATTATTATTTTGTGTGTGAACTTTACTACCGCAATTCCCGCACAATAGTTAAATATCGAATATTTTTAGGGCAATGCCCTTTTACTTTGAAAGGCACACCCGGAAAGCTAACGGTTGTACTGTATGTGTCAGTGCTGTTACCTGTCAGTAAGTGAAGCAGAGATAGGCATGTACAGACAAATGAGCTGAGGACATGTCATTATTGTAGTAACAGCGCTGCTGCACCGAGTCCAGCCGGCTCCACGACCGCTGTTAGCTGCTATAGCTCGCTTTCCTCGCAAGGTAAGACAAGCTACCAGCGCTCCCTCACTATTCCCGACGTGGACCGTACCTCGTAAACAAATGTGAAATCTTAAGACAAGTCTCGTATGGCGATCAAAATCCCAGCGGTGAGAACGCGTTGAAAATATTGTTAATATTTTACTTGTATGAGCCTACAATTCGGCATTCGCTAAGTCCATAAATAGTTCGTTTCAAGTACAGTTTGATCGGATTTATGCTTGCCTTTTCCGCAAGTGACCATTCGGGGGCTTTGTACTGCAACAACTACAGGTGACGTTTTAGGAAAAGCATTTGTTGATTCCTCCGTAAAGTTCCCAAAGTGCTCCCCTCTTTAAGATTTCAGGTTCAGTTGTGTACATGTGGAGGTAAAATAACACTTCAATAATGTATAAGCAGACTAAACTTACTGAAGATATGATTTGCAAATTAAATTGTATGTGGTTTGGGTTTTTCTTTTTTAAATACACAATATGTTGTGTTTTTTGAAATGTCTTCACACTTTAAGACTCTGTTACTTAGGTGTAGTATACTGAAATTTGATTTTAGTTTTTACTGTATATGCCTTTCTGTACTATTAGGCTATCAAGATGACTGCATGGGTTATTCAGATGATGGTGATGGTGCTCTCTGTCTTTACTGGCAGCAGCCAGGGGAAGAGGGACAAGGTGCTCTACTGTTCTGGTAAGTCATGCAGATCTGACAGAAGCTTTCTGTCTCAAAGAATATTGCTGCTATTTAAAGGAAAACCACAACTGAACTGCAATGCAAAAGCATCTCACCAAGTAACTCCAGAGTTGGCAAAAGTACAGACATTCTGTGCTTAAGTACAAGTACAAATACTACTGTTAAAAAATACTTCAGTAAAGTTGAAGTGCTGATTCAACTTCTTTACTAAAGTAAACATAAAAACTACAGGCTCAGAAATGTACTCAAAGTAATAAAGTGAAAAGTAGCTCTTTGGAGGATATTTCTATTTTCCTGCAAAGCTAACTGAACCTCATGCAATATTTAAATGATAAAATAATATCAGTAGATGGGAATACAAACTGTAAAACTTTTTTAAAAATTCGTATTATACTCAGCTTGAATCTAAAGAAAAGGGACGGTGCGATTCCACATGTACAGTACTTGCACAGTGTGTTGTGCACAATAAATGCAAAAACGAGGAGAAATACTTACAACATGCACAAACATATGACCCACAGCATGTAATTAATTTGCATGAATGTAATGTTGTTGATATGCTGCTTAGAGATGCTGGTGGAGCCAGTGATAATCGATAAGGGAATCAAATCGGGAATCAATTCCCATCCATAGCATTTTGACCTTGTAGCACTTCCACAAACATCAGTATGAGACTGAATTCTGGATGATTTTTCATGTTACTTACGTACTGATGTTCACTAAATTCCAGGCTGTGAGCTGTTGCTTGTATTGTTTCCATCACTGAGGTTTACCTCTGTTTCCCAGCATGCAAGGCAATCGTGGATGAACTGAACCACTCAATCAGTCAGGTGGACCCAAAGAAAACCATCAATGTCGGCAGCTTTAGACTCAACCCTGATGGAACCATGAAAGACAAAAAGGTACTTTACGCCAGTGTTTACACACACGCCACTCACTTGCCAAAGCCCCAACAGATGCTTCCTCATCGGTGACCCCCCTATGAGTAAAAAGTGGGAAGGAGGATCAAAGTTTTAACAGGAAGAAACCTCCAGGAGAACCAGGCTCAGGGAGGGGCAGCCATCTGTCGTGACTGATTGGGGTTGATGGGGGACGACAGGACAAAGATACACTGTTTAAGAGATGCAGAAACCAGTAACAACTAAAGATTAAATACAGAGTGTGTGTAAACACACAGTGAGTGCAGGTGAATCACAGTGCATCATGGCAGGCCCTCAGCAGCCTGGGTCTATTGCAGCATAACCGAGGGAGGACTCTGGGTCACCTGATCCATCCCTGACTATATTCTTAAAAAGTTAAAGTTTGAAGCTTAATCAGTGTCTGTCTCCCGAATCCACCAAAGAGGGGTCTTAAGGCTCTGCCTTCCATTCTATTTCTAAATATCCTATGAACCACATGTCTGAGAGTGAAGTGTTCTCTCTCGTCTTCATTATTCAAGACCTTGTATGCGAGAAGAATTTTAAAGTTCTGGGTTTAACAGGCCAATGAAGGGAAGCCATTACGGGTGAAATTTGCTTTCTTTTTCTAGGAATGACGTTTTCCAGCTCTAAGTGGAGCATTTTGGATCGACTGAAGGCTTTTCAAGGAGTTTTTAGGACAGCCTGATAACATTGAGTTACAATAGTCCACCCTCGAATAGATGCACAAACTAGTTTTTTAGCGTCACTCTAAGACAAAATGTTTTGAATTTCCTACACATTTGTTTAAAAAACTCTAAGGTTCCTCACAGTGTTACTGGAGGGCAAGGCAATGCAGTTCAGAGTAGGGCTGCTCAATTAATCAAATTTTAATCACGATTACAATCTGGGCTTTCAACGATCATTAAAAATGACTGAGCCGATTATTAGCCCCTCCCTCGTGCTTTACTCTCGCGCTGCTCCGTGTGGCAAATCGAGACGGACCGGTACCGGTCCGAGGCCCGGGGGTTGGGGACCGCTGATTAAGAGGACCCGAGGGAAGCTCGGAAAGCTCAGCAGAAGTTATTTGGAGAGGAGAGTGGACTGCTGTTGGTTGAAAAGAGGTAAAAACACTTCAGTGGTGTGGAAACATTATGGGTTCAGTCAGACGTGGATCAAGTAGACACAGTGTGTAAACTTTGCTACAGTAGCTGCACCACAGAGCAACACTGCAAAGTTCACTAAACATCAGATGTTTACATTTTTCATTTATTTTTTATATTGCAAACATTTGCACTGTTATCAGTATTTGCACACTATTTTATATTAT